TACAGGGGAATTTTCGTACAGTTCCATCGGTACGTAGCTTGCTTTTATTTAGTCAACAATATTTCAAGAATTAAGTAACTTTATCATCAATTACTTAAGCTGAGGCGCCAGCTCTCGTTTTCTCTAACTGTTTGAACTGTATTAGAATAACCACATAAGCAATTATGGCTGTGCATATCTRAAGGCGAACACGATTACTCATATAACCGATACCAAACCGATATATGCTTACGTTGAAAAGCGTTSACATGTTGATTGGAAAGAAACCATAGGCAGTGAATTGGACATCCTGTTTAATGCTGGAGGTAAGAAATTTATCAACCTGCAGCGAAAAGAAAAACTTAATGTGAAATTTGCACATTAAATATAAACTGWGATCATTCWACCAGACGCTGTTGCSCTTTGTCCCTGCCGTTGATGCGCGCCACTGCGCGCGMCATWKCGTTCGCCTAGAAACTTAAGTATTTAAATAAGAATTCAACGATGAAATAAAGTTTCTTCAATCACCTCCTTCGTTGCCACGTCACTCCAAAGCATCAGCAATGCCGCGATTGGCACATGGACACAAAGATAGATGAGGCACCAAAGTATTCCTCTCACATTCATATCATTCAGTTTGGTGAAAATCAGATAGACTTGTTACATCGACAGAGTGCTGGTGTAGGAGAAGTAGGCTATGAAAACCAGCAGCGTGATGTGCACGAAATCATTGAGCTTTCTGTGAAWCGCCAGCAAATTATTATGCTCGCGATAGAAGAGCAGCATATCGGCTGTGAAGGTCTCCGAYATCGAAGTCATATTGTTCTTTTCAAGGCGCGTGCCCTGCCGTGTCGTATATATTTTGATGAAGTCATTCAATTACCTAAAGCGCAACGCCAGCAAATGCAACAAGGTCGCCACCCATATCACATAACTGATAATGATGGCGTGAAGTAGCATGTAGAAGAAGTACATGCACACACAGTAGAGGAACGATGTGCATTTGCTCACTTGCAGCCATTGCAGGACACATATCCCTACGACATGGACCAGCGGCAGCCACAGGTAGCGCTCGAAATGCGCGCACCTATTCTCCAAAGCTCTCGGCGCGTGTGAATGCCGTTGCAACTCTTTGTCGACGCCGAGCAGCAGGTTGATGATTTCTATGAAATTCTTTGACTTTTGCTCGCTCTTCCACWAAATAATAACGCTGCTCAGTTGGTCGGGCAGCAGTGCCAGCGCTATGGTCGCATTATCCATTTCGCTGTAGATGAAAATGCTGATGCTGAAGGGCAAGAAGGCCACGTACAAGTACGGCAATGTGCCAACAAAGCAGAAAAGGCGCACGAGTGTGGAGTAAAGTGACGCGAAGCCATGCTTTTTCGGCAATACAAYCTTGTACGGCTGTATAACCTGGAAAATCGGCACTACACCCAAAACTTTCAGCACCAACAATATCCATTTCATATCCTTAACGAGTGTATATGCTGTGGCGTGTTTCTGTTGTAGTTGGCGTGTTTGCAAAACGCTCATCCTTATTGCTGCTGCTGACATTTCGACTGCGTCGGAACACGGTAGACTGACTTTTGCTTGATTGGGAGCGCTTGTTGCCAATAAGAAGCCCTTTTACCACCCTTTCACCTATATACATATATATTATGTATGTAATTATAATTAGAGCAGCGTTAAGCATACATTCATATATTAGGATTACATTACCAAATGAATTGTTATGCATTAGTGATTAGTAACTAATATTTGTAGTGGTCAATAACATTGATATTGTCTGCTTTGCTGTCATAAAGACCGCCAGCCATAAAAATGCATTMAATTTAGTACTGTTCTGTTGTTGAACCTGCTGGAGCTGACGAGTAATGATTGGCAGGTAAATAGAATTTATACAGGGTGCATTATACTTTATTTGGATTTATAAATATTTATGAATATTTCGTTTCGGGATTTATTATAGTACAAAAGCCTTCGAAAAGATGAAAAGAAAAAAATTCAAAGTAGATCGCAAGCCATCGAAAACGAAAAATAAATTAAAAACTATTAAGGAAATAATAGTTTACGGGCGATCTGAAGACGGTGAAAGGAAAGCCAGGGGTGTAGCTAAATTTTCGAGGATTAAAAACGGTCTATATCTATTTTCGACAAATCAACGAGTATAGAAAAGAGTTATATGCCAATATTGTAGATAATGAAAAGAGCTGTAACTTTTGTCTAATGACTTTTTTCACATAACCGATGTAAGGGTTACCATTTCGGCACGTTGATATAATAACAACTGAATTATGGCTTGATTTAATGTTTTTATATAATATTAACTCAACTCACTCATTTGTCAAATGTCACAGTCATACGCGGATATAAAAGTAGGCGCAACCTGTTTGATTAAAGTTGCATATCTTTATACATTTAGTCATGCTTTTCSCAAAGGGGCTATAATAATGGTAGTCAATACCCAGGGTTTGATGTATAAATTAATTCTCAAAACATAAATGTTGAGACATTTAACGGCCCTAATAATTTTTGCATTCATTTTATTGTAGGTTTTAGTATTTGAGGCACCGGAAAGGACTCCACGATAGTTAGGTTTAATTAAATTGTGAATTCTAAATTATACTTGGTGACTCAGTCAATAAGTAATTTGAAATTTATTATTGCAGTGATTTTGATCAGTTGATTCTATTATCCAGATATACGTAATTATTTCATGATTTATGGCTCCGAAATCATAAAAAATGCTGTAATAAACAAGTAAGGAAAAGTTATGTTCTTGTGTAACCGAACATTTTATACTCTCGCAACATRCAATCGCAACATGCAAGAATACCATAGGAAAAATATTCTTCTCGAATTTCAAAACCAAACCAAACTGATTGACCAATATCTTAGCTTGAAAATCAGATATATGCTTTGGCGAATTCGRTAAGTTTGGGACGTAAGATGAAATACCTTCAGTGCAAAGTTTTATTCTGATAACCTCATTGATGTTTGCTTAAGTTTTAGCTTTATTAGGGGAACTCCTCACGGGATCATCTAAAGCAAAAAAATAAAWTTTTTTTGTTAAAATCTTAACTTAGAACTTGGACGAAGGAAAAAACTGAAAATTGTATTTTCGGCAGACATTTTTACTAAAAAATAAAAATTTCAGAGAAATTTTCGAAAAAAAAAAAACAATCCTTTGTCCAAGTCTTTAAGAATCGTATCTCATATATTTGTGTAAAATTTCATGAAGATCAGTTGAGCAGTTGTCGAGAATTCTTGCCAATGGACTTCAAAAACACAGTTTTGAGAAAAACTCRCTTAAAGACGGCACACTTAAYCTAGCTAGTTTCGAGCGTACMAGTTCTCAACGCTSTGTCTTCGAAACTAATTCTCGAATTAACCTGAAAATTTAGGAGAATCTTCTAGAGGTATTTTAGAATTTAATAAGACGGTAACATTGTTTTTTTAACCCGTAAACTCATGTAACTCCTTAAACCATTTACGGGCTGGACCACTCCTATTACTAAAAAAATTTTTAGCCCACAGGTAACCGTCGCAAAATTACTTTTTTTTTTGTTTTGTATCTTAGTTTAGTGCTTACTTATGACACTTTATAGGTTTCCGTTTTGTGGCACTATCCACTCCATCTACGAACTCATTCTTACTTTTCGCCGAGGAACGTTTGAACCAAGTTTCATGAAGATATTTTAGCTTTTTTCTCAACTTACAGCTTGCACAAGCAGACCGACTGATAGCCAGGAATGCAACTCGTCTCGCCAWTCTGATCATTTATAAATACATAGTCCTATATATCTCTCGCTTAGTTTTAGGTGTTACGTACTCCCGTTAGGTGAGCAAAACTATTGTACTCTTTGCGGCGACATGTTGCGAGGTATAAAACAATATATAAGTATAAGTATACTTGCCTTAATAAACACCACTCATCACTTCATTTACATTTATTTACCATACCACCAGATATATATCAGAAACAATCAGTATTATTGAAACCCCCAAACGTAAAACCTATATGTACTTTGAAATACATATACTTTATAACCAAGCAAATTAATTACAATTCAGGAATATCCTTATGACCTTAGTAGCTCATTAAGATTTACATACATATGTATAATAGGAGATTCGGCCACGCGTTGCTGTGTCATACTTTTTATACTACTTTTCATATAATAAACTATTCAATACAGTGACAATGTTATTTCCGAATTAAAGCGAAAACATTTTTGTCGGTTTAAGAATCCGAGGTATTGAGTTTGAACATGTTTATGCAAATAAATTTCACTGGAAAAATGTCTGGTTACCAGCGTTCCTGTCCAATTAATAGGGTTGTGCGCTTAATAAACATCAAAGGTGTGCACGGTTAATGGATATGTCCGCTTAATAAGGCGTCCATTTAATAGAGCTTTAACTGTATTCTTTATTTATGAATTGTTAGGATAGTATAGTTAGGATAGTATATTATCTTCTAAGTTGGTTCGAACTGGACACATTGTGTTAAATTCTCCTAAAATCGGTTCAGTTGTTTAGGAGTCCATCGCAGACAAACAACATGACACGTAATTTTTATATATAAAGATATATGTGATCCAGAGTGCTGTTTCTGGCCTACAACTTTTGATTCCCACWTCGTGCGGGTTAAGGGTGTTTTTTTGCCCATTTAAGTAGGACGAAGTAAACTTAAAGTATAATGAATTCCAAAKTCGCTGTTGACTAAGTTGCACAAAATTTGTGATCTGTATTTTGTTAAAGATATATGTATATACATTCAATATATATATGTAAATAGCGGTGAATTAGATGTGTTCTGGAGCTATAGTGTGAGAGGTAAAAACAAATTGAAATTGAACGGGAACTAATGCCGCCTCTTTAGAGGTACGGAACTAGTTCRCTTTATAACTATCTTTTTTTGTTTCGTTTGAACGAATGTTTCAAATTGAGCTTACTTAATTCCATAACAATATTTTAATAGCAAATATAATTTTTTTTTATTATTTTTTCGGTGCAAATGTCTACTCTGCGGCCTTTGAATCCTCCAACTGCTTGAATTGAATCAATATTACCAGGTAAGTGGTGACCGCAGAGAAGATCTAAAATAATTTTGCTRAGTATAACCGTTCAAATAAAAAAATATGTTATGAAAAATAGCGGTACCTTGAATAGTGTTGTGTTGTCAATAGCGAAAAAGCCATAAGCGGTGAACTGCACTTCCTGCTTAATGCTCTTCGACAAAAACTTATCCACCTGCAAGTAAATTACACTTGTTGAAGGAAAATCACTGTGACCACTGTGTGACACTGTGATTGCCTAAGCAAATACTGGTCTTACGATATCTTGATAGTTCTTGCCCTTGGCGTAAACGCGCGCAAGTATCTGCCCTGTGTTATTGGCCTGGAAAGGAACATGATTTTTAAAAGTTTTTCTATAATTTTTATAATTCGTAACTAAGTGTGCTATTTATTATTAAAACAAGAGGTGCAMCGCGACCTTGGGTCTATTGTGTACTATAAACAAATATATGCTATATTTAAGAATTTATTGTCTGTTATCAACCTCTTTGGTGACGCAGTCACAACGAAACGCCAATAAGATCAAAACGGTCGCGAAGTTCAGAATCCAGGATAAGTTCCACAGTATATTGAACCAGTCATCACCATTGCGCGAATCGTACAAAGTGCAGGCATAAGTGAAGGTCAGCAAACCGGCGCAGGCATACAGGAGGAATGCCACCAGACCCAGACCGGCGAATTTGTTGATCAATTGCAGCAAGTCCAACAGCTCGTTATGCAAACTGTAAAATGTTGTGGAATTTCGTGCGAAATTCTGCAGATCGTGTGCYGGCGCTGCTGCGTCCTCCACACCGTATTGAGCTATYAACTTGTTGGTTTGCTGAAGGCGCAAGGCAAGCTGATGCAGCAGCGATGCAATGAATAGCACAAACACACACGAGGTGAAGTTTTCCACCTGGAAGAACGAAATACCCAGAAATAAGTGGGCGGACAGAGTGCCGTAGAAACATTTCGCCATCGGTATTGTTATTGCGCAGAGATAGCCAAATAGCAACAACAAACACATATTGAACGCATTTTCAGTTTGTTGATGCTGTGCGAGCGGTGGGGCCAGTTGTCCGAGTCGTCGATCGATTTTCAGAAATCCGTTAATTATCGCGATTATTTTGGTGCCGTTGCCAGCGCATGACCARCTAATGACAACATCGCCGAAGATGCAGAAGCAGACGCTAAGTGTGTTCGCAATGCCTTGCGTTTTGCCTCGCTGCAGCAGTTTTTGCATAATGAAGGGCGACGAAAAGGCGTAGACATGAAGCAGATGCATCGCCGTTTTAGCGCAAAAGATGGCCTGAGTGATGTGCTTCGGCAGTCCTTTGGGTGCGGCGATCTCATCAGAGTTTGGTGTCGTATAGAATGGCACCAAACCAACTAACTTCAAAATCAGTACATTCCACTTRATACTTGCCAGTATTGAAGACGGGCTGGGCTCTGGTGCTTTRCGAACTTTTATGTTGGTCACATTTTTGTAGGAGGAGACGCGTCGTTTAGTCCACATTTTTGTAGAAGCGGTCTGTTGTTTACGCGAGTAAAGAGTGAAGACGGCAGCCGGACTACTATTGAATTAATTGCTCGATTGGTTTGCGCGCATGGAGAGCATAAATAAGCGAAGCTAATTGATTTTGCAATTAATTGCAGAGATAACTTTATTAGCTAAAAATCTTTCAAATTGATAAGACTGTCTGCATTAATTGAACTACATAAAATATTTAAGGAAATTAATGGCGGAAGGTCAAAGCAATGCTTTCACACCCACATAGGAATCATTGAGTTTAAGACTCGGCTATTGAAAAGCATGTGTGCGATTCGATTCGATTTCAAAAACGTAAAATTCCTCATTGCTTAGCTACGCTTCATAGTGTCTTCTGCTGACTAAAAATAGTAGTTAAAGCGTTAAGTGGAAAAGTCTCCAATTTGTATAGTAGACAATGAAGTGAATSAGAGTCGCTAGGCGGTCGATTGAGTCACTGAAACCAATTGTGATCGATCTGTGCACGAAACATTGAATGAACTTGGAAAATATAATGAAAATACTGGGGTGCACCATAGTTCACACCGTCGTATGATTCATATAGCTCGTTCCATCGATATATCGAAAATTCGTTTCGTCTACTCATCAGTTGTTTTCATCGTCCATGCCTCTGCACCATATGGCAGGACAGGAATAATAAGTAATATATAGAGTTTGGTCTTTTTTAGTAGAGAGAGAACTTTACTTCTCAATTGTCGGTGCGTGACTGTTTGTTTGGCGACAGGAGACATTTGTCTTGTTCTCGTTCATTACCGGACCCAATTAAGGAGTAATTGCAATGATAGGAGACTGAAAAATTAAACTTCAAAGTCTAGAAGAAAATCAGCAATATGCAGGGATTAAGGAATAGTTTGAGTTTTTACAGACAGACGAAGATATCTTTTTCGACGCAGCTTAGCTTTGTTCTGCTAGCGTCCAAACATGAGATGACAACACTACCATTATATTTTCATGTTTCCCGCAAAACGTGATCATAAATACATACTCACCTCAGAAGCTACGGCATCACAGGCACTACAAATCACCGCAATCGTTACAAGTTCARCGAAAATCCAAGCAAACGATAATCCCAAAATGTCATATCTCTCCTCAAAGCCCATGGGTTGTACTACGGTCATGAACGCCATGTAGGATTGCTTGGTCAAAATATAGAACGCGACAGCCATGTAGGAAAGCAATGATATGCCGCCATTCTTGTTGATTTTATCTATGATGTAACGGTACTTGCAGAGCTTCTCGATGTGATAGCTCATCTGTCGCCAGTTGCTTTCCACAGCCAGATCACTTTTCGTACTTATTTCCAACTGGACRTTAACGAAGTCGATACGTTGGCTTAAATTGCCGAGCAAAACGCGTAAGCAAATCGCGTACAAATTCGATATCAGYAATTGCAGGCTGTAAATGCCGAGCAAAATGGCTTGATGGAAATGAAAATCATCGCTCAGCAAGTTCATATAATAATAGGCGGTGTACAGTAAACCCGCTGCGGTTATGACCAGGAAACCCGTTAGCAAATGACAGGAGTAGGCTGCGGTGAAGCCCTTAGCTACCAGATCTACGTCCATCGTACCGATTTCCTGCATGACGCCACAATAGCATCGACTGTTCGTCGACGAAACGAAGATAATGATGTTGCAGCTTATAAGGCAAAAGAACGCCTCGGTGGTTTGGTCRGAGCCTTCCAAATTGCGAAATACCGAAAAGCCGCTACCGCTGTTAAGCACAATCCAGCTGACGGCCAGTGACATTATAAATATCTGCATATTGATGAAGTACGTGAAGTAGTGACCACGAAGGCTTACTCTCAGCTCGCCGYGTTTGACTTCGTAGAATGGCACAAGACCGAAAACTTGACCAGCGAAGTTTACATATTTCATATCCTTTACGATTTTCATTTTCTTTAAGCACTTCACCGCCGGAAACTTCGTTGTGCTGACGTTAAAGAGTAGTGAAACAAGAATGACGTTTCCAGTCTGTAACTGTCAATAGCGCAATTTTTCTTCTTTACTGGCGTAGACGCCGATGTGCGATTAGCATTTGAMATTGCTAATCCATTTGATGATGCCATTTTTATCGACAGTTTAGGCTTAATATTGTCTGACTGCTCTGTAATGTAAGCAATTATTCTTCAAAGTGAGTTCAGGTTACTTGCAAGCGTTTATGTATGAAGCATTAGTTGATTGCACTTTTTTGGAGAATTTACGAAATACTGATGATACTTGAGTTTAGATTCAATACCTCTCCGAAATCTATGATAAAAAAAAAAAAAATAACCCGTTCAATTCATCATGATTCATTTATTAAACGGGCAAATTTGTACAGTCTTTATAATGAATGAGAAATGATAATTTATTCAACATAGTTCTTTTCACTGATTATAGTRACTCTCCAACTTTTGGGTATCATTTTTTTAGGTGGTTATGACCTTTGCTTCAATATAGAACTGAGTTTCAGTGAACACCTCTTCATCCGRACAGAATTTATTTCCAGCGAGTATTTTTTYTGGACTCTAGCGCGGCTACGGAGGYGTTGGCATGACSGACTAGSTAAGGTAGCTGTTCACACGAAARACGATGTGAGCCGTRGCGYTGCTGTGCTTCCTATCGGCTGCGATGTCGTGTCGGACCCGATTGCTCTTCRTTTGAGTCTCGTGAGGACTTCCACGTAAGATGCCTTTGATGTAACGCGAGTCAGATTGTCGGTGTTCGTCGATGTCGCAGAGCTTCCAGCACGGTCTTCATCAACGATCTTTTCCGGGCTCTCCAAAAAGYCCTGGTGCCACCGAAACACACMACTTYTTGCYGAAGCCACATCTGGGTAAGCCTGCTTAATCATATCAAACGTCTCTGTCGTAKGTTTACCGAKTCTYACACAGAATTTAATCGCATACCTYTGCTCTAACGATCGCTGCATTTGCGGCTTATACCACTCWCAGAAACACGTCGCGCGGAAATGTTTTTACTGGCTCTCCAGGTGCTYGGAGACAACTSATCAGCCGCTCGTTCGTTAGCTAGCAGCGCCCTCTACCGAACTAGTCGCTGCGTAAGAAAACCTTTATTTATTACTTTCCGAACTGTTGCGGTTTTCCATGCTTTGGAGTGGGTTCATCGTGATGGTTCATTCAGATTACTGCCGAGTGGTTTTCGGAGGGAAAAAATGGAGACACGTTTCATCCATTATCTCATATCTATGTGTTTGGGTTTATAATGCTTGAAACAAACACTGATTAGAATCATCGTCCCTCGCTTTTTTGGGTCAAAAGTGAGCTCGTGCTGTAT